CTTAATGGGTTGATTACACAGTGTATCACATGTTCCGAGGGTTCTGGAACCTTCTTAATGGGTTGATTACACACTGTATCACATGTTCCGAGGGTTCTGGAACCTTCTTAATGGGTTGATTACACACTGTATCACATGTTCTGAGGGTTCTGGAACCTTCTTAATGGGTTGATTACACAGTGTATCACATGTTCCGAGGGTTCTGGAACCTTCTTAATGGGTTGAATGCTTAAGCAATAAGGCACAAGAGGCAGTGCTGTATCATGAACACAGTCACAGATAAATGGCGTTGTTCGGACCGACGCGATAGCAGAGGTAAAAGACGCCATTGCACTGCCTCGCGTGCCTTATTGCTTTTAGAAAACTGTTACCAACATATTCAAATAACAATGAAGTACATATTTTCATTAAAACGTTATTTTGATAAGTCAATTCAAACAGTGTAATTATTCCACCAGAAGATATAGTCCGGACAATATCTTCTGGTCATGTTGCAAAAGGGTTAGGGTTAGGAAGGAAAAGGAAAAGGAAGCCAGGTCCCCCGTGATACAAGTCAATATTGGACGTCCATCCGTGTTTGAGTATGTTGGGAGATGACGTGGAAACCGGCCACTAAGGGCAACAGTGAGCGCTGTTACCTTCAAGTAGGTTTGGGTTTTGCTCGGTTATTGTGGAGGGGGATGGAGGATGGGCATCTGCCTCTGATTCCAAAGGTTGCAAGGTTGAATCCAGCAATAGAAAGTTATTTTTGTTTTAAGTCTATCCCATACCTTAACCCTTACCTTAACCATTCGGAGTTAATAACTAACCTTAAGATTTCGGAGTTAATGTTTAAACTGAACTCTAACCTTAAAAATGTGGAGTAAAAAAATGTGCCTCGGAAGAGAAAGAGATGACAGTGAGACCAAAACAAAGATCGACACACAGACAGGAGGCATCTCTCACTCCATTCACTAAGATCGACACACAGACAGGAGGCATCTCTCACTCCATTCACTAAGATCTACACACAGACAGGAGGCATCTCTCACTCCATTCACTAAGATCTACACACAGACAGGAGGCATCTCTCACTCCATTCACTAAGATCTACAGACAGACAGGAGGCATCTCTCACTCCATTCCCTAAGATCTACACACAGACAGACAGGAGGCATCTCTCACTCCATTCACTAAGATCTACACACAGACAGACAGGAGGCATCTCTCACTCCATTCACTAAGATCTACACACAGACAGACAGGAGGCATCTCTCACTCCATTCACTAAGATCGACACACAGACAGGAGGCATCTCTCACTCCATTCACTAAGATCTACAGACAGACAGGAGGCATCTCTCACTCCATTCACTAAGATCTACACACAGACAGGAGGCATCTCTCACTCCATTCACTAAGATCGACACACAGACAGGAGGCATCTCTCACTCCATTCACTAAGATCTACAGACAGACAGGAGGCATCTCTCACTCCATTCACTAAGATCTACACACAGACAGGAGGCATCTCTCACTCCATTCACTAAGATCTACACACAGACAGACAGGAGGCATCTCTCACTCCATTCACTAAGATCGACACACAGACAGGAGGCATCTCTCACTCCATTCACTAAGATCTACACACAGACAGGAGGCATCTCTCACTCCATTCACTAAGATCGACACACAGACAGGAGGCATCTCTCACTCCATTCACTAAGATCTACACACAGACAGGAGGCATCTCTCACTCCATTCACTAAGATCTACACACAGACAGGAGGCATCTCTCACTCCATTCACTAAGATCTACACACAGACAGGAGGCATCTCTCACTCCATTCACTAAGATCTACACACAGACAGACAGGAGGCATCTCTCACTCCATTCACTAAGATCTACACACAGACAGACAGGAGGCATCTCTCACTCCATTCACTAAGATCTACAGACAGACAGGAGGCATCTCTCACTCCATTCACTAAGATCGACAGACAGACAGGAGGCATCTCTCACTCCATTCCCTAAGATCGACAGACAGACAGGAGGCATCTCTCACTCCATTCACCCAATGTGGTGATGTATTTTGACATTTAAAGCCACTCAATAGGTCCACCATCATTTCTGGAATTACTTCACCATCTTACCCACAAACCCAATTCAACATGGTTGCACATTATTGGCTGAAGTCAACACACATGTCATTATTCTAAAGTCACATAGATAATAAACTGATGGCATTTCAATATGGAGCTGAAAGTGAATTGAGGTTGTTTTACCATGTCAACAAAGACCTTTGGTTCTAAACATTGCACAATAAACTGCGGGAGCATTCAGTCTTTTGCAGGTAGAGTATCTTTCTTTATTTTGCAGGTAGAGTATCTATCTTTATTTCAAGTGTTGTTGATCATAACAGACAGTGGGTTAAGGTAAGAGACAGAGAGACAGTGGGTTAAGGTAAGAGACAGAGATACAGAGAGACAGTGGGTTAAGGAAAGAGACAGAGAGACAGAGGGTTAAGGTAAGAGACAGAGAGACAGTGGGTTAAGGTAAGAGACAGAGAGACAGTGGGTTAAGGTAAGAGACAGATAGACAGTGGGTTAAGGTAAGAGACAGATAGACAGTGGGTTAAGGTAAGAGACAGAGAGACAGTGGGTTAAGGTAATAAACAGAGAGACAGTGGGTTAAGGTTAGAGACAGAGAGACAGAGAGACAGTGGGTTAAGGTAAGAGACAGAGAGACAGTGGGTTAAGGAAAGAGACAGAGAGACAGTGGGTTAAGGTAAGAGACAGAGAGACAGAGAGACAGTGGGTTAAGGAAAGAGACAGAGAGACAGAGAGAGAGACAGTGGGTTAAGGAAAGAGAAGAGACAGTGGAAGCAGAGAAGAGGACAGTGGGTTAAGAGAAAGAGACAGAGAGAACAGTGGGTTAAGGTAAGAGACAGAGAGACAGTGGGTTAAGGTAAGAGACAGAGAAGAGACAGAGAGACAGGGGGAGTGGGTTAAGGTGAGAGACAGTGGGTTAAGGTAAGAGGACAGAGAGAGAAGTGGGTTAAGGTAAGAGACAAGAGACGTGGGTAGGAGAGAGAGACAGTGGGTTAAGGGTAGAGAGACAGGGTAGAAAGACAGAGAGACAGTGGGTTAGGTAGAAGGACAGGGTAAGGAAGAGACAGAGAGACAGTGGGTTAAGGTAAGAGACAGAGAGACAGTGGGTTAAGGTAAGAGACAGAGAGACAGTGGGTTAAGGTAAGAGACAGAGAGACAGTGGGTTAAGGTAAGAGACAGAGAGGACAGTGGGTTAAGGAAAGAGACAGAGAGACAGTGGGTAAGGTGAGAGACAGTGGGTTAAGGTAAGAGACAGAGAGACAGTGGGTTAAGGTAAGAGACAGAGATACAGTGGGTTAAGGAAAGAGACAGAGAGACAGTGGGTTAAGGAAAGAGACAGAGAGACAGTGGGTTAAGGTGAGAGACAGTGGGTTAAGGAAAGAGACAGAGATACAGTGGGTTAAGGTAAGAGACAGAGAGACAGTGGGTTAAGGTAAGAGACAGAGAGACAGTGGGTTAAGGAAAAGAGGACAGAGAGACAGAGAGACAGTGGGTTAAGGAAAGAGACAGAGAGACAGTGGGTTAAGGTAAGAGACAGAGAGACAGTGGGTTAAGGAAAGAGACAGAGAGACAGTGGGTTAAGGTAAGAGACAGAGAGACAGTGGGTTAAGGTAAGAGACAGAGAGACAGTGGGTTAAGGTAAGAGACAGAGAGACAGAGAGACAGTGGGTTAAGGTGAGAGACAGTGGGTTAAGGTAAGATACAGAGAGACAGTGGGTTAAGTAAGAGACAGAGAGACAGTGGGTTAAGGAAAGAGACAGAGAGACAGTGGGTTAAGGTAAAGAGACAGAGAGACAGTGGGTTTAAGGGTAAGAAGAGACAGAGAGACAGTGGGTTAAGGTAAGAGACAGAGAGACAGTGGGTTAAGGTAAGAGACAGAGAGACAGTGGGTTAAGGTAAGAGACAGAGAGACAGTGGGTTAAGGAAAGAGACAGAGAGACAGTGGGTTAAGGTAAGAGACAGAGAGACAGTGGGTTAAGGGTAAGAAGACGACAGAGAGGACCGTGGGTTAAGGTAAGAGACGAGAGACAGTGGGTTACAGGAAAGAGACAGAGAGACAGTGGGTTAAGGTAAGAGACAGAGATACAGTGGGTTAAGGAAAGAGACAGAGAGAACAGTGGGTTAAGGTAGAGACAGAGAGACAGTGGGTTAAGGTAAGAGGACAGAGATACAGAGGACAGTGGGTTAAGGTAAGAGACAGAGAGACAGTGGGTTAAGGTAAGAGCAGAGGAGCAGTGGGTTAAGGTAAGAGACCAGAGAGACAGTGGGTTAAGGTAAGAGACAGAGATACAGAGAGACAGTGGTGTAGGTAAGAGACAGAGAGGAGGAGGACAGTGGGTTAAGGTAAGAGACAGAGAGACAGTGGGTTAAGGTAAGAGACAGAGAGACAGTGGGTTAGGATAAGAGACAGAGAGACAGTGGGTTAAGGTAAGAGACAGAGAGACAGAGAGACAGTGGGTTAAGGTAAGAGACAGAGAGACAGTGGGTTAAGGTAAGAGACAGAGAGACAGTGGGTTAAGGTAAGAGACAGAGAGACAGTGGGTTAAGGAAAGAGACAGAGAGACAGTGGGTTAAGGTAAGAGACAGAGAGACAGTGGGTTAAGGAAAGAGACAGAGAGACAGAGAGACAGTGGGTTAAGGAAAGAGACAGAGATACAGTGGGTTAAGGTAAGAGACAGAGAGACAGTGGGTTAAGGTAAGAGACAGAGAGACAGTGGGTTAAGGTAAGAGACAGAGAGACAGTGGGTTAAGGTAATAGACAGAGAGACAGTGGGTTAAGGTAAGAGACAGAGAGACAGTGGGTTAAGGTAAGAGACAGATAGACAGTGGGTTAAGGTAAGAGACAGAGAGACAGTGGGTTAAGGTAAGAGACAGATAGACAGTGGGTTAAGGTAAGAGACAGAGAGACAGTGGGTTAAGGTAAGAGACAGAGAGACAGTGGGTTAAGGTAAGAGACAGAGAGACAGTGGGTTAAGGTAAGAGACAGAGAGAGTTAAATGATGGGTCAGACTCATTATCATCCCCACTGCAGTCAGGGTTCTGTTGCTATGGCAACACTGCACTTCTTAGTAGATCTGTGATATTCTGTGGCCTGCTGCACCGTCTAATCTCTGGAAGACCCAACACAAACCCTACTTAGAAAGAAAGAGACCCCCTCCCTTAGATATGGAATATGTGCACGTTCTGGAATTGTTTGTATGGCAGTAATTGTTATTGAAAAATCAGATTGTACAGTTGTGTTAGAAATAGAGGTGGTTATCAGTTAAGCTAATTCACTTCTATGCAGTGGCTGGTCTGATCTTCATAGTGATGGTTTTCAGGGAGTATGTATAGCCTCTCCATGTTTTCCAGTTGATGCCAATACCATAGGCAGACTCGCCCCATGCATATATCCCATTGGGGTTAGCAAAATGGCAGTCGTTGTGCCAAAATCCTCCGTAGTACACATGGGCACAGTTGGCGCCGTTCAGGTCCTGGTCTTTATCTAATGTTGTAAATTTATGACCATTGTGAAAAACCAGAGAATCTCCTGAGGAAAAGAGGAAGATAGTTCAGGTCTCTAGGGAACCTAATGATAAAACTTCCACTGGCAAATCTTTAGGTATGACTCCTTGTTGACAGATTTTCTTGGACTATTTTTCTAGATTTTTTTTCTGGTACTATATTCTGGTATTATATTCTTGGACTATATTCTGGTGCTTTATTCTAGTGCTATATTATGGTAATATATTCTGGTACTATATTCTGGTGCTATATTCTAGTGCTATATTCTAGTGCTATACATTTACATTTACGTCATTTAGCAGACGCTCTTATCCAGAGCGACTTACAAATTGGTGCATTGACCTTATAGCCAGTGGGATAACCACTTTACAATTATTATTTTTTTTATTTTATTTTTTTGGGGGGGGGGTAAAATGATTACTTTATCCTATCCCAGGTATTCCTTAAAGAGGTGGGGTTTCAAATTTGGTACTTGTATTTGGTACTATATTCTGGTGCTATTTTCCGGTGCTATTTTCTGGTGCTATATTCTTGGACTATATTCTGGTGCTGTATTCTTGGACTATATTCTGGTGCTATATTCTTGGACTATATTCTGGTGCTATATTCTTGGATTATATTCTGGTGCTATATTCTTGGACTATATTCTGGTGCTATATTCTGGTGCTATATTCTGGTGCTATATTCTTGGACTATATTCTGGTGCTATATTCTTGGACTATATTCTGGTGCTATATTCTGGTGCTATATTCTGGTGCTATATTCTTGGACTATATTCTGGTGCTATATTCTTGGACTATATTCTGGTGCTATATTCTGGTGCTATATTCTTAGACTATATTCTGGTGCTATATTCTGGTGCTATATTCTGGTGCTATATTCTGGTGCTATATTCTTGGACTATATTCTGGTGCTATATTCTTGGACTATATTCTGGTGCTATATTCTTGGACTATATTCTGGTGCTATATTCTGGTACTACAGTATATATATTCTTGGACTATTTTCTTAGATTTTTATCTTGGGTTATTTTTTCTTGGACAATATATAAATTGTCACCCACCTGCTCCTCCATCTTTGAATGAGCCCAGTGTTAGCAGGTATCCTTCAGCCTCTGGTCCAACAGAGAAGGAGGAGTACTGAGCATAGACCTTCTTCCCCTCAAAGTCCTCCATGTCCACCCTCAGCTCATAGCTTCCTTTCATAGTCAGGAGATGCATTGTCTCCAGACCTGGAGAATGATATCAACATAGCAATTCACTGTGTTGTCTGAATACAATGACAAATGGCCTTGGCTAGAAGTTAAACCAGTTCTTACCCAGCCAGTACTCTCCAGCTGCGCTCCCAAAACCACTCTTGTACTGATCCCACTTCCTGTGGAAGTTCACTGATCCATCCTGTCGGCTCTGAATCAACTGATTTAGAGAGAGATTGTTTAATTGACAGATTAAGAGAGAGAGAGATTGTTTCATTGACAGATTAAGAGATAGAGATATATTATTTAATTGACAGATTAAGAGAGATAGATTATTTAATTGACAGATTAACAGAGAGAGAGAGATTGTTTAATTGACAGATTAAGAGAAAGAGTGTGTTTAATTGACAGATTAAGAGAGAGAGATATTGTTTAATTGACAGATTAAGAGAGAGAGAGAGAGATTGTTTAATTGACATATTAAGAGAGATAGAGATTGTTTAATTGACAGATTAAGAGAGAGAGAGAGATTGTTTAATTGACAGATTAAGAGAGAGAGATATTGTTTAATTGACAGATTAAGAGAGAGAGCGAGATTGTTTAATTGAGAGATTAAGAGAGAGAGATTGTTTAATTGACAGATTACAAGAGAGAGAGATTGTTTAATTGACATATTTAGAGAGAGAGATATTGTTTAATTGTCAGATTAAGAGAGAGAGAGAGAGAGAGAGAGAGAGAGAGATGATTTAATTGACAGATTAAGAGTGAGAGAGAGACTGTTTAATTGACAGATTAAGAGAGGGAGATGGTTTAATTGACAGATTAAGAGAGAGAGAGAGATTGTTTAATTGAGAGATTAAGAGAGAGAGATTGTTTAATTGACAGATTAAGAGAGAGTGTTATTGTTTAATTGTCAGATTAAAAGAGAGAGAGAGATGATTTAATTGACAGATTAAGAGTGAGAGAGAGACTGTTTAATTGACAGATTAAGAGAGGGCGATGGTTTAATTGACAGATTAAGAGAGAGAGAGATTGTTTAATTGAGATATTAAGAGAGAGAGATTGTTTAATTGACAGATTAAGAGAGAGAGATTGTTTAATTGACATATTAAGAGAGAGAAAGATTGTTTAATTGACAGATTAAGAGAGAGAGAGAGATTGTTTAATTGACAGATTAAGAGAGAGAGATTGTTTAATTGACATATTAAGAGAGAGAGAGATTGTTTAATTGACAGATTAAGAGAGAGAGATTGTTTAATTGACATATTAAGAGAGAGAGAGATTGTTTAATTGACAGATTAAGAGAGAGAGAGAGATTGTTCATGGTAAATTGATACTGACCGTCCACTTTCCTAGATAAGCACTTTCCAATCCCATGTCACAGAACACCTGGACAGGTGAGGTGGGTCCGGCAGGGTAGATGGTGTAGACCCCGTTTTGTCCAGAGCCTGATCTGTAGACCTCATCACAGTCCACTGGCTGCAGGGAGGACTGCACCACCACTGGGACCATTAGAGCCAGCAGCAGGATGGACTGCAGCACAGGGTAGATGGATGTAGCAGTTGGAATGCAAATCCTGTCTAGTGTTGGTTCATTAGAGACGTCCTATATTCACATTAGTATCTCTGAATGCTGTTTTCTGATCATTCTAATAATAGTGTGCTTTATTAATACCTACCATCATTGTTGTGATAGACGTCTGTTTGCCTTTGAGTTGAATGGACTTCCTGTATGGAAAGAGGAGCATATTGACTACAGTACTGTTCAGGTCACCAGCTGTTGGTGACATACTAAGACTTACACAGCAGTCACTGTTTACTACAGTACTGTTCAGGTCACCAGCTGACCTACTAAGACTTACACAGCAGTCACTGTTTACTACAGTACTGTTCAGGTCACCAGCTGACCTACTAAGACTTACACAGCAGTCACTGTTTACTACAGTACTGTTCAGGTCACCAGCTGTTGGTTAACAAACAGGACTGTTAGGTCCAATGATGACTGAACAGATTGGAGAATGTTACATTAGGCACCAGGAAAGATGCACATAACCTCCCTTCCTAATAGTTTTATTTGAAATGATTTGTGATCGATGTATTCATGAAGGAGAAAAGTAGGTCTTTAGTTGAGAATAGTGAGACATGCATGAGCTCACCTGTATGAGTGACAGATGTCAGCGTCTTCAGCAGATGTTTGTTCCCACTAAGATGCACACCTCTTTTATAAAGGGAACCCAGAGCCCATTGCAACACTCTGTACATTCCCTGGTCCAAACCTCTTTTATAAGGGGAACCCAGAGGACATTGCAACACTCTGTACATTCCCTGGTCCAAACCTCTTTATGAAGAGAAACCAGAGGACATTGCAACACTCTGTACATTCCCTGGTCCAAACCTCTTTTATAAAGGGAACCCAGAGGACATTGCAACACTCTGTACATTCCCTGGTCCAAACCTCTTTATGAAGAGAAACCAGAGGACATTGCAACACTCTGTACATTCCCTGGTCCAAACCTCTTTTATAAAGGGAACCCAGAGGACATTGCAACACTCAGTACATTCCCTGGTCCAAACCTCTTTTATAAGGGGAACCCAGAGCACATTGCAGCACTCAGTACATTCCCTGGTCCAAACCTCTTTATGAAAAGAGACAAGAGGACATTGCAACACACTGTACATTCCCTGGTCCAAACCTCTTGTATAAAGGGAATCCAGAGGACATTGCAACACTCTGTACATTCCCTGGTCCAAACCTCTTTTATAAAGGGAATCCAGAGCACATTGCAGCACTCAGTACATTCCCTGGTCCAAACCTCTTTTATAAAGGGAATCCAGAGCACATTGCAGCACTCAGTACATTCCCTGGTCCAAACCTATTTTATAAAGGGAATCCAGAGCCCATTGCAGCACTCTGTACATTCCCTGGTCCAAACCTCTTTATAAAGGGAATCCAGAGCACATTGCAGCACTCTGTACATTCCCTGGTCCAAACCTCTTTATGAAGAGAAACCAGAGGACATTGCAACACTCTGTACATTCCCTGGTCCAAACCTCTTTATGAAGAGAAACCAGAGGACATTGCAGCACTCAGTACATTCCCTGGTCCAAACCTCTTTATGAAGAGAAACCAGAGCACATTGCAGCACTCAGCCCATTGCAGCACTCAGTACATTCCCTGGTCCAAACCTCTTTATAAAGGGAATCCAGAGGACATTGCAACACTCTGTACATTCCCTGGTCCAAACCTCTTTATGAAGAGAAACCAGAGCACATTGCAGCACTCAGCCCATTGCAGCACTCTGTACATTCCCTGGTCCAAACCTCTTTATGAAGGGAATCCAGAGGACATTGCAGCACTCAGGTCCAGTCATTCCCTGGTCCAAACCTCTTTATAAAGGGAATCCAGAGCCCATTGCAGCACTCAGTACATTCCCTGGTCCAAACCTCTTTATGAAGGGAACCCAGAGCCCATTGCAGCACTCAGTACATTCCCTGGTCCAAACCTCTTTATAAAGGGAATCCAGAGCCCATTGCAGCACTCAGGTCCAGTCATTCCCTGGTCCAAACCTCTTTATGAAGAGAAACCAGAGCACATTGCAGCACTCAGGTCCAGTCATTCCAGGAAACACTCTGGCCTGTAGGTCGTTTGAAGCCCATAATAATATCCTAAACCAATGAATGTGACTATATCTGACTGATAGTGATAGAGGCTGCTCTTTGCAATATTGATCTGGCTCAACTTGTCAAAAGACCAGTAAACAATGGAACACTTTATAATAGATAGTTGTTTTTCCTACTGAACTAGTTGGATACACTGACTGTACATTTCTCCTTAATGCCTACAATTATTTAGTCAAAGAAACCACACCTGTCATTAATACAAATATATTTTAATTGACCTTTACCAATATAATGGAATTTAGTTATTACATTTATTTCATGTTTGGCTAGTTTGGTTTCTTATGAGGCCAAGAATCTTGAATTAGATTGCACTGGCAAGTCTCAAAGAGAGGGAGGCATTTCAAACTATCGGAATGAATTACTGCTGACTGCATTGGTTCAATTAATTATGTTGGCGGCTGTGGGGGAGAAAGGCTGTTTATGCTGCCGGTCAGTGGTTCAACTGTCCAGAGGCTTTCTACCAGACCAGCCGGGTCCAGTCCAGCAGTGGGGTGAGGGACCAAGGTGTTGGGTGGCTGAGCCGGGATGAGCCGTGCTGACTGGCTGGCTGGTTTACTGGATGACTGGTTGACTAACTGGCAGACTGGCTGGCTGACTAACTGGCTGGCTGACTAACTGGCTGGCTGGCTGGCTGACTGGCTGGCTGACTAACTGGCTGGCTGGCTGACTAACCGACCGGCTGGCTGGCTGACTGACTGGATGACTGGCTGACTAACTGGCAGACTGGCTGGCTGACTAACTGGCTGGCTGACTAACCGACTGGCTGGCTGACTAACCGACCGGCTGGCTGACTAACTGGCTGGCTGGCTGACTAACTGGCTGGCTGACTGACTAACTGGCTGGCTGACTAACTGACTGGCTGACTAACTGACTGGCTGGCTGACTAACCGACCGGCTGGCTGACTAACCGACCGGCTGGCTGACTAACCGACCGGCTGGCTGACTAACTGGCTGGCTGGCTGACTAACCGACCGGCTGGCTGACTAACTGGCTGGCTGACTAACTGGTTGGCTGGCTGGCTGACTAACTGGCTGGCTGACTAACTGACTGGCTGGCTGACTAACTGGCTGGCTGACTAACTGGCTGGCTGGCTGGCTGACTAACCGACCGGCTGGCTGGCTGACTAACTGGCTGGCTGACTAACTGGCTGGCTGACTAACCGACCGGCTGGCTGACTAACCGACCGGCTGGCTGACTAACCGACTGGCTGGCTGACTAACCGACCGGCTGGCTGACTAACCGACTGGCTGGCTGACTAACCGACCGGCTGGCTGACTAACCGACTGGCTGGCTGACTAACCGACCGGCTGGCTGACTAACCGACTGGCTGGCTGACTAACCGACCGGCTGGCTGACTAACCGACTGGCTGGCTGACTAACCGACCGGCTGGCTGACTAACTGGCTGGCTGGCTGACTAACCGACCGGCTGGCTGACTAACTGGCTGGCTGACTAACTGGTTGGCTGGCTGGCTGACTAACTGGCTGGCTGACTAACTGACTGGCTGGCTGACTAACTGGCTGGCTGACTAACCGACCGGCTGGCTGACTAACTGGCTGGCTGACTAACTGGTTGGCTGGCTGGCTGACTAACTGGCTGGCTGACTAACCGACCGGCTGGCTGACTAACCGACCGGCTGGCTGACTAACTGGCTGGCTGGCTGACTAACCGACCGGCTGGCTGACTAACTGGCTGGCTGACTAACTGGTTGGCTGGCTGGCTGACTAACTGGCTGGCTGACTAACTGACTGGCTGGCTGACTAACTGGCTGGCTGACTAACTGGTTGGCTGGCTGGCTGACTAACCGACCGGCTGGCTGACTAACCGACCGGCTGGCTGACTAACTGGCTGGCTGGCTGACTAACTGGCTGGCTGGCTGACTAACCGACCGGCTGGCTGACTAACTGGCTGGCTGACTAACTGGCTGGCTGGCTGACTAACTGGCTGGCTGACTAACTGGCTGGCTGGCTGACTAACCGACCGGTCTGGCTGACTAACTGGCTGGCTGACTAACTGGTTGGCTGGCTGGCTGACTAACCGACCGGCTGGCTGACTAACCGGCTGGCTGGCTGACTAACCGACCGGCTGGCTGACTAACTGGCTGGCTGGCTGACTAACTGGCTGGCTGACTAACTGGCTGGCTGGCTGACTAACTGGCTGGCTGACTAACCGACCGGCTGGCTGACTAACTGGCTGGCTGGCTGACTAACTGGCTGGCTGGCTGACTAACTGGCTGTGGACTGCATTGTAGAGAGAAAAGAGCTGATAAACCAGATTCCAATAGGACTTGGCAGAACAGATTCTAGACAGGGAGGCCAGCGGGGCCGGTCCAAACCAGCTGATTCTGCGCTGCTATTTTGGTCCCCCTGCATATCCTGCTGCCCAGAGTGACTAGCACCTACACATATGGTCAGTGGGGGAGAGATTCCCAGCTCAGCTATGTGGAGGCGCTGTCTGTGGAGACAGCTGGGGGGAAGGCTGGTGGTCACAGCACCAGTATTATTGTCAGGGAGCTGTGAGCCTAGGTAGTTTCAGGAAGCTGTGAGGCTAGGTAGTTTCAGGAAGCTGTGAGGCTAGGTAGTTTCAGGGAGCTGTGAGGCTAGGTAGTTTCAGGAAGCTGTGAGGTAGTTTCAGGAAGCTGTGAGGCTAGGTAGTTTCAGGAAGCTGTGAGGCTAGGTAGTTTCAGGGAGCTGTGAGGCTAGGTAGTTTCAGGAAGCTGTGAGGCTAGGTAGTGTCAGGAAGCTGTGAGGCTAGGTAGTTTCAGGAAGCTGTGAGGTAGTTTCAGGGAGCTGTGAGGCTAGGTAGTGTCAGGAAGCTGTGAGGCTAGGTAGTTTCAGGAAGCTGTGAGGTAGTTTCAGGGAGCTGTGAGGCTAGGTAGTGTCAGGACGCTGTGAGACTAGGTAGTGTCAGGGAGCTGTGAGGCTAGGTAGTTTCAGGGAGCTGTGAGGCTAGGTAGTTTCAGGGAGCTGTGAGGCTAGGTAGTTTCAGGGAGCTGTGAGGTAGTTTCAGGAAGCTGTGAGGCTAGGTAGTGTCAGGAAGCTGTGAGGTAGTTTCAGGGAGCTGTGAGGCT